CATAACTATGTCCAATTATCGATAACTTTCATGCTAAAAAGTAGAAGAGTTATAATTTCAGATACACGTGATTTGTTTCATGTAGTTCGCGTTATTTTTATGAATGTCTTGTGATAAAAGTTATTTTATTCTATTTGATCATCATTTATGTGACTTTATTACATTTAGAGAGTTTGCGCTCTAGTTGTTGACCGATTCGATTTGATATCGTGCAATTCCTTTACATTTTTATTCACAACACCCGAATCGAATGTCAAACTGTCGCATTCGAAACAGGGGGTCTACTCTCGACCTCCGTCCGACATCCGTCCGAAACAATTACTGCCAAATAAGCAATACTTGACCAAATGAAAAGACGCGTGATGCGAATGAAGCTTCATACTTGATACTTGTCTTTTAATTTTGTCGAATATTACTTATTTGACAGTAATTGTTTCGGACGGATATCGAGAGTAGACCCCCGAACCGAAATGACGTCAGACCCGTACGATTACTTCTCGACCGGCAACGTTATTCAGGACACAGTTATCGAATGAGAGTTACCGATTTTACAAAGCAAGAATGTAATATGGAAATCTCATAGTATTTTAAATGGATTTTGTTCAATTTTATTAATTTATTTTAATGCAAGACTAATGCATTTTTATATTTTAGGCCTTTGAAGTCTTGAAAATGTATATAAAAGGATTTAACTAACTCGAGATTCGGTTAAAATATCGAAGAGTTCTGAATCGGGGTCCAGGTGATCTTCTTATCGTATAGATGACATATACTATTATGTTAGCCATCATCGAGAAAGTATTTGTCAGTCTGCGTAAAATACCCGCTGATTGTAGCCTATGGTGTGCCAGACGTAAAGATAGGAGTGATAGTATATAATAGTAAAAACAATATGATATTCAATAATCTTCTTCCTGTTCTCATTCCACGCTAGGTGGGGTCAGCACAACGTGTATTTTTCTTCCATTGTCCCCTACCACCCACACCTTTCTTACCTATGTCATCTTTCACACAATTCGTCCACATTCATACCTAACTCTCTTCTCGTTACATGACATTCTTCCATAACTCCGCATCTTTTCTGTCACTGGCGCGACTTTCAAACTTCCCCTGATGTACTCATTCCTTATCTTATCCTTTTTCATCACTCCACACATCCATCCCAACATGCGCATTTCCGCTGCATGCGCAGTTCGTTCATTCTCCCTTTTCATCGCCTAACATTCTGATCCACACAGTACGACAAGGCTAGTCACGTTCTTGTACATTTTCCCCTTTAGCTTAAGTGGCATGGGCCGATCGCAAATTGTGCCTGTGATCCGTCGCCATTCCTTCCATTCTGCACTTATCCTGTTCTTTACGTCCCGGTAAATCTCGCCGTCGTTCTGTATCAACGAACCGAGGTGCCGAAAATCGGAACAGACTGGTAGGGATACCATCTAAGGCAATATTGGTAAAACCGGAGACACTGACAAAGTCGAGAAAACGCTGTTCGGTTTTCGACTAATTCTCATGATATTGATGACATGATGTTCAATAATATAAGCGTCATATTACCAGCCACTACATGGCACATGTCATGTTAAACGATGGCGTTTGGAAGGGAATAAAACCAAGAAATAAATTTAAATAATAACGTTTATATTTTCTTTTAAAATTAATTATAACTTTATACAATAATCTTAAACTAGGAAGTTATTTTAATGTCTTTAATAAACAATTTAATTCTAATACGTACTATGAACACTTATAATTTATTTACAAATTGTTTTATACTGTTTGTGTACTATCACCAAAGTTGACGGTTTTTCACCTTAAGGGTTATTGGGTGCAGGCAGCAGTTGCCAGAAGCAGCCGCAGTCGGCTTGTTCTTGTCAACCATTGGCGTTTAAAAATAAGAGACAGGATTATCTACATTCTGCACTTATAAAGAACACTGTTTTAGCACTGGTAAGGTTTGTTTGTTTATAAAAAGCAACCTCCAGAGTTTTTTACTCATGTTCTTCAGATGAACCTGCCTTCAACTAAGTAGTAGAGTCTAATCAATGTGACCATTTCATGCGTGAAATAAAAATAGTTTGAGTTTGCTATTTGCTTTCCTGACAGTACTTTACAAAATTTTACAAGTAATCCCGAGATGCGGGTTTCTTTTAATTAGTCCTTGTGGTATTCTTCGATATTTTCCTACTCTGTTTTTGTAATTTTTTAGTTTACGGTAGATTGTGAGAATAATAATAATCTGTAACACCCTACCCTACTGTACCCTTTTGACACGTCTCTGTAATATTTTTGTTAGGTACCTTTTTTGTCATTCTTGTATTGCTTGTATTTGTTTTCATTTATTTTATACATTTAAAACAAAAATTATATTTTCTACTTACGCCATTTTGTGCCCAGTGACACGCCCTCTCCTTTAAATAGGTTCTTATCCTTTATTAATACGATTAAGTATTTAAAATTCACAAATAATTTTGTGATTGTCTATTGCACAAATAATCCTACAAATTACAAGATTATAATTAATTAAAACTTTGGTATAAACAACATGCTACAGAAAAACGTACTATGTGCAATTTGTGACATTTTGAGACGACGTAAATATACTGATTTTTTTTCTTAAAAAACTCATTTATAAAATATGGAATGGCATTTTATCTCTTTTTAACCATGTACTTTCTACTGCTAGACATGAATAACATTATATTCAACTTAGAAGTTATTATTGTGAATCTTCACCAAACCATAAGGATCTTACCACACTTATTAGTGCAAACGAGACCAAAAAAGACGCATAATGTCTTTTTCGTTCTTATTACATAGACATTAAACTTTTTGTGATCGGCTTAGTGCGACTGCGTGTAGACAAGTGTGGTTTCACCCTTATATCGATTGTTATATTATACAAGTATTTATTCAGTAGAATACTTAACAATGTCTTTTACTTCATATTATATTAAAATTAAACTTATCTATATTCTTAAATACAATATAATATTACGAAGATAATAAATAAGCTTATTTTTTTATTTACAAAAAAATATACACCCTAATCACAATAATTAATTATTTATTACAAGTTTAATTATTTATATACACTGGGTAGAGATTAAATTTATTTTCAGAAAAACAAAATTATGTGGTTGAAATTGTTAACAATAATAGGACAAGCTAAAATGTCACCACACAGAACAAACTTTAAGCCGGCGGCCGCTGATCTTTGTATTAATAATTACCACAAACTAGTGGAGTCATTTCACATTAAAAATAATTGAATATCAATTCAATAAAAACTTAAAGGGTTTTAAGTTTAAGAAATAAGATAGTAAAAAAGAAATAAACAATAAACTTGATCTGACCAGCTTATAGCGCAGGCCACACTGCGAACTAAGCTAACCGAGCTAACTAAACTAAATCAACGATCCCGCTAAGCTATGTAAAATATGTCGCCCTTATGCCGTCATTCACCCCCGCACGTATCCAAAGTCACTACAAACTTTGTATTTTCTTAGCTTATGTTTGCATGCAACTACGTGAGCGAAGATAAGTCAGCTTCGTTCGCGGTGTGCGCTTAAGCCTTGTAGTAACTAGCATGTTTCTTACCAATTTCAGTCAATGAAATACGCTTACGTAAACTCGCTCTCTGATTGGTCAATTGAATTAAAACATTTCAGCCATCATGAATTTGTACCCTTGGCATAATAAAGCATGTAATCATATCGCACTGCTGTTACAATAGTTTTGTGACTCAAAAAACGTAAAATTTGTTTGTCTGCAATAAAATTGTCATTAGAATATTGTAAGAAACCATGGCTTACTTAACCCAGAATGAGACAAACTTTTTTGTGAACTAACCTGGATAAAACAGTAATAATTTTTTACTTTTATTTTCAAATATACTTCTAATTGGCAAATAGGAGTTGTTTAGATGTGTAATTAGTTTTTCAGCTATATTCTGAATAAATTCATTTTTTGAGTTAATACACTATTGTAATAGCAGTGCAATGAAGCGAGGCACTTGTGACATAGTGCTTTTATCACAAGTTATAAAAATAATACGCCTTTTCAAGCACAAAGAAGTTGTCGACTAATTTAGTTTGCAGAATCTTTAAACCCTGTTCTCGAAGCACGAAATCCGTTGTGACGATGCTGATCTCCTTTATCGTCTTCCCTGTGTGGACCTTTCTTTTTTAAGCTAGGCCACATACTTTGGACTTGATTAGTTTTTATTGAAAACAAAATAGAGTTGAATTTGAATCTGGAACCTTGACTTGATTTACATCTTTTTAATAATGATCTTCAACATTTCTCTCTAATGGTTCATCCTCAAGTAAAACTCTAACTTCACCTTCATTATTTGTTTTCAAATTATTAGATATACGTATACATAGGCCCTCTTTGGGTCCTTCCTTCTCGTTTTTTATTTGCTAATAAATTCATGTGGACCTAGCTTTTTCTTACTTTTCGCTAAAGCTAGTTTTTCCCACTATGGGAGGTCTACAGACTCGAACGGCTCTGTCTTTTCGTTGACGGACTTAGGGAGTAGTTACGAGGTCATCTATAGTGCAGAAAACGGCCGTAGCTACAGATTTTGTACTTCGAGAGTAGCGCCCTGTCTCTTGCGTACGCAATATAATAACGCTGAAGCTCGCGTCGTTCATGGTACTCTCACGAAAGAAGTCTTTAAACAGAATACGTGGCTGTAGCAACAGCCTGCCGGAGAATACCGCGGCTAGAAGTGAGCGCCTTATGGTGCGGCATTTAATAATAAGCATAAAATCCGTAGTACAATTTAAGTACTAATTATAAGTTTATTGTTATTAACATTTCACGTATCTTTGTTGTTTGTAATATAGATTTATTGTTATTATTACGCCAAGGGTGCAATTTTTTCTGTATTTCCTAAATTTGCACAGACGGATTTACAACTGCATGGAAATTACAGAAAATAACCAATAAAATTAATATAACAATAATAATTAAAACAAAAAACCTAAAATTACTTATTTCTCTACATTGATATTGAAATTCGAATAAGCGGGCCTCAGGCTTGTTTCCGCGTTGACAGGGGATGGAGGTGTGGGGGGGATGTACGGGTATCTTGGGTAAGGCGGGTATGGGTACGGGTACCCTGTGGGTAGGAGCTGTGGGTTGTGGAAAGGTAAAGGTAGCCCCGGGGATGGGTAGCCATAGGGTAAACCTACTGATGATGCTGCAGCCTGGAGGATAGAAGCTGCGAACGCCGGGTCGCTGTAGACAGCCGCGTAGGGCCAGGCGACGGCAATGCGTTGACGTTTGTCTTTCATTCGACGATTTTGGAACCATACCTGTAAAGAGACGGATTTTGAGTTACAACGTTCTGGTTTTCGATAGTCTTTATAAGACAGTTGTTTTTTAATCGAGACGTCGATGGTTTCACTTCTGGTTGATAGCCTCGAAAATTTCGCGAGGGTGATGTATGGAAAATAAAGGTGTGCTGCCACAGAACTTCAAGCACTTCTACTGTGTTTATTACACAGTAGAAGTGCTTAGTGGACGGGGTACGTGTGCCAACAGTACATGGTGTCTGCATCTTTGAGCTCGAAAAGGTATGTATTCGAAAATCGTACAAAAATGTCTTACTTTACCACTTTGGAGGGCAAAAATAATAGTTGCACGCGTAATATTATTTATGATGGTGTATCGTAGTCTTATTTTATTTGATTTTAATAATTTTCTCATTTCCGTTTTTTGTAACAGATTTTTTGTTTGGTATAAGAAACGAAAGTGAACTAATACCGCTGCAATATGATCGACTTTTTTTTGGAGAACGTTAATAGGTGAGAATCGTTCTTCGTCTTTCAGCCATTGCCTTTAGATGGTAGCACATTCAATGAAATTTTAATATAAAATCAAACCGTCGTAACTTGGTATAGTAGGTATTGAACCTTCAACGTGTGACAACTGGGTAAACGTTTAAATTATTGCGATTACGACGCTAGATATCTGTGTGAACAGACATATTGTACCAGCACGTCAACTAACCAAACGTTTAATTTTTTATTCAATTGAATTGAATTGAAATCCTTTAGTTTATTATAATTATTATTATTAATACAAAGATCGAACACTCAGAAAAAAATCTTGTAAAAACAAAAATAATTGAATACCAATTCAATAAAAATTTAAATACAATGAATAGTAACGTCTCTAGCCGGGGTTGGCAGCTGTAAAGGTAACTGGGTAGCGAAACATCATAGATTTCTCATAGATACGACGCAAGCACATAGAAAAATTCGTGAGGTCCGCTGGTTCGTTCCGTGGCTTAGTTGGTATAGCGTCTGGCACGGTATGCTTTAAATCCGGCCGGATCGAAGGAATTTTTTCTGAGTGTTCGATCTATACATTAATAATTATAACCAAACGTTGTTTCATTGAGCTATCCCTGTATAAAGTAACAGTAGAGCTTCTTGTGAAAGTGTTCGTCCAGGGAAGTATTGCCACAGTACCTAATTCTGCTGCCAAGCAATAATGTCAGCATTACTGCGGTTCGCTTTTGAAGGGAGAGGGTGCAAGTGAAATTACAGGCAAATGGGACTTACAACTCTTTTATTTTTATTAAAAAAAAGCGCGCATTTGACCATTGAAATGACAATGAGGTCGACGATGTAGCATGCACACATAAATAATGCCTATTCACTCTCGCGTTGAAAAGGTCAAAGTTATATCGTTCGGGTAATAAATCTGCAGGCAGGGAATTCCACTCCTTAGCCGTTCTTCATATAAATGGTGGATTTTCAGTCTACGTTTAGTCGTCTGATGATGGTAAGAGGAAGGTGGAATTGAATAATGCATTTCCATCGCACACTCTCCGTGACATATTCAAGGTTTTGCAGCCTCGCCACAGCTAAATCCGACTCACCTATAAGACTCTCACATAGATCTCAGGATGACGGGTGCAGTGGCAGTGCCAAGCGTACACTGCGACCTGAACGGCACTGGTTATGGACAGGCGTGTCGCTTACCCCCAGGTTTTGCAACAACACGACTCGTTCGCCCCGTCACTTCGTATAAAAAAGAGCTAATATAATTTAGCATGAGATTTTATAACTTATTAAAACACTAAAGTGACAATTTCTTTTATGATAACTAATCAAGCGAGTCTATTACGATTGGATACGATAGGCGTTTATGACGGTGCTAAATTATTCCGCTAAAGTAGGTTATATTTTGTGTCAGTTTTTCAAATGAAAGCTGTTTTTTGTTGATCGAATGTAAAATATCATCATAAATTCGAAAGGAGTTTAGTCGAGTTATTTTGTTTTTATAAGGTTTTTGTGATTTAAATCGCGTTTATTTGTTTTTTCAAACAAACCAATATTTCGGGCCCCTTTCTTTTTGTCCAATTAGCATTAATATTAGTCGTAACTGGTTGATTACTTTACCATCTCAGTTAACCGTCACCACGGCTAAAAGGGCCGAAACTATCTGAAGAGTCCAGGGAAATAACAATCAAAGTCACTTGAGGAGAATTTTAGGAAAAAATAACTTTTAAATTTGGAAAACTTTTAAATATTGCTGAAAAGGACACGCACAAATACTACCTGAAATAGAAGTGAATGTTGACATAAATGTATAAATCTTTTTTAACTTTTCTACCTTTTTGTCGGAACCTTTTTTATGACTAAAGGCAAAAGCAAAATTTTCAGGAAATTACTCTGCGTTTACCAAACTGGATGGCGGTACTAACTTAAAACGTGTTTTAAGTGACTTAGATCATTCTTTTCCTCTCTCTTAATTTAGATTCGAAAAAAAAAAATTACTACGAAGTGTTACGCTTCCACATTTATATGGCTAACGGCTATGGAGTGAAATTCCTTGACTGCAGCCATATTCCCTGAACGCTATAAGTTGGGCCTTTTCAAGGCGAGAGTGAATAGGCATTATTTGGGTGTGAATGCTCCGTCGTCTACCTCATCTTCACTTTGCATAAGGTGAGTTAGAGGTCAAATGCGCACGTATTCTTTAAAAAAAATGTTTTAACTATATTATTATTTTATTATTATTATAATAACAATATTTATTGCGGGCATTTGGGATCTAGTGCATACGATACGGACTCAAACTTGGTTCATAAGTTTTATATCCACGTACATATAATTTCTGTGTATATACAGGGTGTAATAGTTAAGTGCGCCCTGGCGATAAATACAAGTGATATCAAAAACCTTTAAATACGTTACCTAATAAGTAATAATAAAACATAATAAAGTAGTTTGGCCTACGTTTATTTCTCTCGTGAGTTTGGGTGTAATTTGTGGTTGTCTATGTGTGTCCATGGCACCCGCGACACGGGGTGTCCCTATTTCGGGGTATGAGTGTGTGCGGGTAAAAAGAAAAACAAAACGACATCAATAACTTTTTTAAATAAAACTACACATTGAATATGACATTCGTAGATAGATATCTCAGTTTCTGAGACCCGTGAAATGTAACATCCCCTTACAGGATGCAGGAGTTTACAAGCTTGACTGTGAGTGCGGTCTCTCTTATATTGAACAAACAAAGCGAAGTATTTGTACCCGCGTCAAAGAACATATAGCTGATGTCAAACACCGTCGCGTAAACAAGTCTGCAGTCTGCGAGCATGTCATGGATAAACCTACACATTCAGTGAAGTTTGACAAGCCCCAGGTCCTTGCAAAAGAAGTCCGTTATCTACCCAGGATGCTGCGAGAGGCCATTGAAATAAAAAAACATCTTAATTTCAACAGGGAAGATGGTTTCTCCGTACCACTAGTTTGGGATCCAGTATTTCCTCTAATGAAAAACCCCAAACAGGCATAAGACTGCAGTACTAATTAATATGTTTTAGTTTATTCTAATTTCTATTATTAATTAATAATAAACTGAACTTAATAAAAATTTATTCAATAAAATAATTTGTAAAACTTAATGTAGCGTAAATTGGAATGTTTCTTTGTAAAATTAAAAATAAGGTATTTAATTAATAACTATTGTAACTATAGTAAAAAATAGGGTGATTTGCATCAATGTTAGACGTAACTGGTTGAAGACTGTACCACCTCAGTCAACCGTGACCATCGGACCTGTAAAGGGCCCGAAATGCCGGTTTGTTTGAAAAAACCAATATACGCGATTTAAATCCGGAAAAATAGTTTCATTTCCTATTCGTAGATAGGCTTTAGTTTTCTTGCTTTAAGAGGTAATTGGTTTGTTTGAATAAATAAATATACGCGATTTATATCTGAAAAAAAAAAACTTTAACTTATATATTGCTCATTTATAGTCCATTTGTTTAGGTACTTAACTAAATGTAAACAATCTTGATACATCTTTTTATTGAAACACATGCTTTACAAATCAATAGGTATAAAAATAGGCATGGAATTTCATATGAAGCTAAGTATTTGTATTTTGTATTTGAAGGTAAGGGAAAATCATTTTATAAATGTATATTTCATTAAATAGACATCTCAAGATTGTTTACATTTATTTAAGTACCAAACAGATGGACTATAGTTTCAAAGCGACAGTGTTGTACTGTCACTTTGAAATTAAATGTATATGAATGACACATCAATATAGCGAAATTTTGGAGATAGATTATTAATAAAACGCAATTTTTGAGAGAGTATTCTCTCAATGTTATTTGTCAAGTTAGTTGTCAAGTGCGATATATCGATAAAGCTATCTTTTAATTTAAAAAATGAACTGATGTTATTTTTAAGTACAAAATTTTGTATTCAAAGCAGATATTCGAAACTAAAGCCTCTCAAATGTCATATTAAATGTACGTACCTGTGTCTATATGTACCTATGGGAGCGATTAACCTTAAAATTTTGTATATTTCTAGTTGTATTTAAAAAAAGTTATTGATGTCGTTTTATTCATGCAACGAACGTACTTTCGATGTCAGTGTAAAGTGTAGGATTTTGGTATATCTTATATTTACGGAATAATTGTTAGGCTACAAGCGACGGTCACACCCTGTATAGACAATTAACAGTTAATATATACCATTTACAATTTAAACAGAACTTCTTAGGTTAAACGTATATACAATCTAAAAATACGAACTCAATAACACAAGTTAAGTGAAAATACAACAAAGTAAACAACAAAGGAACGTCGTCTGGAGCTTTTAAAAGGTCCTTAAAACGTCTTTTGTTCGGCGGAAGTGTTAATTGGCGGGAATTTTGCAGTTAAGACGAAATGGCGGCCTTTCCGCTTGGCCATAGACAAGATTATTACTTTTTATTGACTTTCGTAATGGAGGTTTAAAGAATTTAAAAGGAGAATCTTAACATAAAAATATTTAAATTT